TTGAATATTTTCATAAATAAAGAAGTTACGGAGGAGACATGAAAATGATCAAAATCTGTTTTTTGCGTATAAAACAAAAACGAATAGATTTTATCAAAATATTTTTTCATATTATAGTTGGCCTTGACAAACTCCACATTTGGTGTCATTTAACCGACCTCGTATCTCTCACCGTTAAAAAGATACCCATGGTGAGCATGGTAAATGGGACACACTGTACACATACACGTTTTATATTATGATACTCCCGGTATACACCCATACACCATTTATTAAAGACATAGTTATCAGAGATTCAATTTTAGAAGCCTCATCAGTTTTTTTTTCTCATTCAATATTTTGCATGCAAGATTGAATGTCATTATTTATTTTCATAATACCTACTCAAATACTTGGGACTACAAAAAGAGTTATTACTCGTTAATATCTATGTACGTATACGTACTGGTATCTTCTTCACATTCAGATTAAAATTTTTGGAGACAAAAGAAAGAGAAGGTCAACCGATCAAGGCCATATGAGAGAATCAAAATTTATTCATACTGTGTTTCAACTCCAAAGCACCCTTATAATATATTGTGAGTTGAATTCCTCAAACTGAAAGAGTGTACTATTTGCGCCACTCTGTATCTCTGGACCATTAATTATTGTTTTTACTCACACCTTATACAAAGTTCATCAAAACATATGGCCGCAGCAGATAAATTATTGAGAAATACTTTCAAGATGATCAAAATATTGAGAAATATAATATATTATGACCAGAATAATAATAATTCTTACCTTATTGATATTGCCAAACTCATTAGAACACAGGAAAAGTGCTACTGCCAGTAAAGTATCGTCACACGAAGAAACATTGTTCAAATGTTTCTCACAGCCACTGAGTCACTGTAATGATTACAAGTAATTATAGGAAACTCAACAAAAGTATATTTTAGTAATCTTGTGGATTCAAGCGGCGCTTTAATTGGGTAGGAAAACATACACTAGATATGTAAAAGAAATCAGAACCTATATCCAGAAATTTTGTTTTCAAAAATTACTAAAATTCCAGGAAATTATTTGGCAACGTTGGCAACTGTGTATTCATTATCGGGCGGTAGGGCTTCGACATGGACTTGGGTTTTGATTTTGAATTCCTCACTCTAAGTGGGGATAAAACAATTTTAGAACAATTTTTTTCTTTAGTACCTACATAGGTAGGAGATACACTGGCTATTATAAAACCTAAAGCCTGAACATCAGCTATACCTATCATTGCAATGCCATTGCAGCTTTTGGTAGCAATTGAACTTGTATGTTGTAAGGGTTTTTTCTACCTTCTAATTCAACCAAAACCAAAACGCGCCACTGAAACGTGAGGTCAGGGTTGGTAGAACTGATAAATGTACTTCGCATTTTCTTGTCATTTGTCAATGTGAGCATTGGTCGTAAAGTTCCAAATTTAAAGTAAAAAACATAAGTCCACTCAAGTCTCTCGATAACTTGAGGTTTTCTATCTGTTCAAATATTCAACATCATGTTTTTCGAACATTTTCGATGAAACAGGCTATATTCTTTTGGGGTATCCGGCAGAATTCTGGGATTTTTGACACTGACCTAACGTTTTAGTAGCGCCATTTGGTGATGAAAATGTTAGCCTTCTACTAATTAGACCTTCTGTTAGTTTAGGCAGAGATTATACACTAATCTCTGGTTTAGGGTAAAGACAATATATAGACTTGAAGTTACGATTGATCATGAAACAGAAATGAAACAAAAAAATCAAGAGCAGAGCGTCTATCGAGGCGTCATTATAAATTGAAGACAATGTGTGTACCTATACTAGTGTAATATTGTTTAATATCAATTAACTATAAAGTCTTACCTTGTATATACGAATCAAACAATCACTGCGAACGATAATTTCAATTTTGGAAGAATAATTAACACTCAAATCACGCAATTTTTTCTACACGAGCACGCCATGATACCAAACTAATAACTCAAAACTCAGGTTCGTTTGTTCGCAGTGCTGCCACTTGAATTTGTGGAATTACTTGCAAATTTATTTCAAAATCCTTGCATTTTACTGGCAAAATTTTGAAAATCCTGACAAAATCCTTGCAAATAGTTTTCTATACAAAATGCTTATGAATTTTATGTTTTACACAGATCGATTTCGTGTGCTTCACTGTATTATCGTAATAAAAATGGAATAATATAAAATTGAAGGTGTCGAAACGGTTCAACTTCCAGCCATCATTTTGACATTTGACTTATAATAGCACGCGACATCTAGCGGCCAGAAGCCTAAGAGTATCCAAGTAACAGAATGGGATCTTTCTCACTGGAATCCTTGTTTTTGTGATTTTTTTGTGTAAGGAAAATATTCCACTCAAAATGAGCTAAATTATTTGAATAATTACCGAACTGAGCAACCAATTTCTCATCATATCTAATATTATGATTAACTACTCTACATATTTGCTTACTTCTCAGACAGAGGCAGCAGGCAGGCCTCCATTTTTGATTTGTCATTTTTCATTGTCAATGTCGATGACAACAGTCATCATCAGTGTCAAGTCAAGCCTCGATCCATTATTCGAGTGTCTAATTTGTCTAGTACAAAATTGACGATAATGACAAATACGCAAATACCACAGAAGATCAAAACACAGAACACAGAAAAACGAATAAAGTACGGAACACGACTAAAACCATAAGCAAAACGAGGTCAGGTCATTCACTCAAAATCCTTGCAAAATCCTTGCAAAATGTTGAATCCTTACCGATTACTGCAAAACTTTGTAATTACTTGCAAATGCAAGTAATTACTTGCAAAACGGCAGCACTGTTTGTTCGTTAATCTGTGACTCATCTGATACAGATCTCAAATACAAGACAATAGTGATCGGTGGATGATAATTCAAACAACCATGACTTTCGGTATGGGAAGATTATACAAATATCAATCATTTCTGTGGTGTGCAAACCTAATACATGCCTATTTCATGTTATGGAATATGGAAGGATAATTTAATGAAAAGTCTGGTGATTGTTTCTACAATTCTTCTGTGCACTTGTCGTGTCGTCTTATTAGTAAAATTTTATACCAATAGGTATACCTAAAGTGATGGCGAGTAAAACCTGTCATACCTATTCAATGATACACCGATTTTTCTCCCTCAACATGGAATGGAGACATTTTTTAGGTTTCACCGTCAACCAAGGGGGTACCTATAGCACGGGGCAGGGAGGGGGCAGAAATACCTATAACATTATTAAAAACTCACTCTGATGGCATCTTCTTTTTTCATAAAAACCATCTCAGTTGTAGCATGACATGTCTAGTGATTAACTCTTCATATCCTTATCTCGAAACAAATACAGGGTGTCCTTGAAAGGTATCTGTACAAAATGATACCACAGAGATTACTGAGACCAAAGTGAGAAGATAGAACCAAATTTACCTTTATAGCAAATCGATTCGTTAACGCTACAGGGCGTTGGAATTAATTTTTCATTTTTATTTTTATGCAACACCCTGTCTTCTGAATTAGTGCAAAAATGTGTACCACAAATTGAATATCATTGATATGATTGATGATTTCATACGAAAGTTAAGTACGAACCTACGATAAGTATTAAATAATTCTGAAGAGTATTATCAAAGGTACACGCATCAAATTGAATTTGGTCAATTTGTTAGAAACGACACAGATACAGTGAGATAAATATAACTCGACAGTCGCCTAATATCATGGCACTCAGATTTTATAACGCTCTAACCTGTCGAAATTAAACAATGTAGGACATTAACTTCTTTCAAAGTATCCTTGAAACAACTATTACAAACAGATAAATGTTATTATTCGGTGGAAGAGTATCTTTCCCAAAAATTTTAATAATAAGCTACATGCGTGTATGCATCTCTTTAATCACACTTATGTGTTATGTAGGGTTATGTGTTAGTTTCCATTTTGTCGATTTTGTATTCTACTTACATATTATGTACCTACCCCTTCGACTATTCCTATACAATTTTGTAATTGTCGACTGAAAAATTGACAGACAGATGGCACCTTATATAACTTTTACTTTTTATGAGAGAGTCTTGACTCTTGAAGGACCTGTTGTTGGGTAGAAGTAACCGTAAGACGACGGAGTTTGGTGTACCGCTGCTTATGTATTTGTATTTGATCTATTGTTATTGGGAATATAGTTAAACTAATGTTTGGTACAGATAGTACTCCAAAGAGTGGACTGTATATGCTTTATAATTTTCAAAACCTTATGAAGAAAAGACCACACCATACTTTTGCTTTTTGCTCCCATGAATTCGACAATTTTCCGAAATATTTCGTGTTAGATTACCCCAATATATATACTGGCCTAAAAGAAGCCCTAGGGCCACAGGTAAGTATAAATAGGATGGAAGGTATTTCAGCCAAGGAGACCAAATTACTTAGATGGTTGAAGATTACATTATTCATTAAGTATTATATTTTACAAAATAGTATATTTTTCCTAATGTAAGAATTTGCGAAAAATCTAATCAAACCATAGAGAATGGATTATTGATTTTAACGGAGAATACAGAGAGATGCACATAAAACGAAATGTGTCATAAACGTCATAAATAATAATAATGGTGATAAGGCGATAAGGATGTCCATTTCCTACTCGTAATCTAATTAAACTCGAGATTTATATATCATAATCTGTGATTTATGAGAAGCGTGTGCCATATTACAAGGCATCTTCCTACACACTTCTTGGACGAAATTGGGAGATCCTGTTTCCTCTGAGTCATAAATTGTTATTTGAAGACTTTTTCCAGGTCGATTCGTATGAGGAAATATGGAAATATTCATCGAAAACTATCCTTGGAACTTCAGGCGTCATTATAGACTGATGGTATATAGTCAATCTAGATTATGGTTGTCCTAAATGAATAGCAATGTGTTATTATAAAAAAAGAACTGCACAATTCACTCACCCAATTATTTTTCCAGGAAACTTGTAATCCTAAATCCTGCAGCCACACCGGAGACAACGAGAAACCGGTTTGCAGTTCAGATGGCTTGACCTATCCCAACAGGTGCATTTTCGAAAAAACCCGGTGCCTCTACCGAAACCTGACCATCACCAAACGAGGACCCTGTAAGAAGCAGAGGCCCTGCCAAGAATGGGACACTTTCAACATCAACAACCGAGTATACAATAACAGGTGAACAACCTTCCTTATGTATGTACCTTCTCATCTTTAATATATAATCAAGATCATCTATTAGAAGCCACGCCCTTTCTACCAAAGTCCACGCCCCTTTTATCAAAGCTCACCATCTTTTTACCAGAGTACACGCCGCTTTTACGAAATCCCACGCCCTGATCACCAAATTCCACGCCCATTTTAGCGAAGCTCACGCCTTCTCTTGGTCATGTGTACTCAAGGTCGCACTGTTCGTCCTTGGAGAGAACAAAAAGAATGTCCATATAAAAACTCTGCTTCTGTCAACTGTGAACTGTCAAAATGATTTGATATTGACACAAATATAGATGTTACCCTCGGTCTTACCCCATTACCAAAGATTATAGCTGACATGATTATTAATTGAGTATAGGTTGTAGCACCCCAGCCAACACATCTATGACATGTCATCTCTGTGATGTCGCGTATAGGTAACAGTGAGATATCACGAACGTTCCATCGCTACGATGTTAATGAGTCATCGTTGCAATGTACAGAAGCAAACACATCTGCGACATCATGAATGTTGCATCGTTGCGATGTACACATGAGGACTTCGTATTCCAGAATTTGTCAAAAATTTGATATTTAAATTCTTGTTGCGTGAAAAAGAATACGAGAATATACGTTACTCAACAAAGTGAAGCTAAACTCGATACTTTGCTATCAAACTATACTTCGATTGAATGGACAAGACACCTGAGGAACCACCAACCAGTCACAAAACACATAATCAATATTATTAGATGTCATCAGAGGTTTGTTTGAGGACACTTTTTCACGTCATCCCGCATCACATCGTTTACTGGCAGAAGCACATCGCTTCTTCATCACAAATAACATATCGCAATTACATTGCAAAAAATATATCGCGTCGTCGCATGAATGAAACTTGAGTGTGACAAAATAACATCCCTCTGACATCGCAGCGACGTCTATGCGACATAGAATTCAATATCGCAGGTCACAATTTTGGTATACTTGCCATTTTAATAAACCTCATCAAAATCTGGTCATATCACTCTAATATCTTTGTCATAATATGCAACAATCCAGTTTCCTGGAAAACAAACAAGTGAATTTTAAACTATCTTTCTCAGTTCTTCCATGACATTGTTTTCAG